AAATTTAAAAATTTCATAACTAAGCCAAAAACGCATTAATTTCAATTCGGAAAGCGGCAGTATGTTAATTTTTAGCAGGTTAACAAAACTGCATACTCAATTTAAAATGTGAATTTTTGGCCGATTTTTGCAAATTTTCATGATGTAACCCCTTTCCTTTTTTCCGAAAAATGGGAAATTTCTGAAAAAATTTTTTTCGGCCGGATAAAGCTAGAAAGAAAGGCCTGTAGATGCTGATCAAGAATATATATGATTTGTGGGGTCGGAAATGGCTCCTTCACTTATTTTAAGCTTCTAACTGAAGGTCCATTACCATTTTTATACCGAAATTAACAATATTTTTATATGAAATTTTTCGACAAATCAAAATTTAAAAATTTCATAACTAAGCCAAAAACGCATTAATTTCAATTCGGAAAGCGGCAGTACGTTAATTTTTAGCAGGTTAACAAAACTGCATACTCAATTTAAAATGTGAATTTTTGGCCGATTTTTGCAAATTTTCATGATGTAACCCCTTTCCTTTTTTCCGAAAAATGGGAAATTTCTGAAAAAAATTTTTTCGGCCGGATAAAGCTAGAAAGAAAGGCCTGTAGATGCTGATCAAGAATATATATGATTTGTGGGGTCGGAAATGGCTCCTTCACTTATTTTTAAGCTTCTAACTGAAGGTCCATTACCATTTTATACCGAAATTAACAATATTTTTATATGAAATTTTTCGACAAATCAAAATTTAAAAATTTCATAACTAAGCCAAAACGCATTAATTTCAATTCGGAAAGCGGCAGTACGTTAATTTTTAGCAGGTTAACAAAACTGCATACTCAATTTAAAATGTGAATTTTTGGCCGATTTTTGCAAATTTTCATGATGTAACCCCTTTCCTTTTTTCCGAAAAATGGGAAATTTCTGAAAAAAATTTTTTTCGGCCGGATAAAGCTAGAAAGAAAGGCCTGTAGATGCTGATCAAGAATATATATGATTTGTGGGGTCGGAAATGGCTCCTTCACTTATTTTTAAGCTTCTAACTGAAGGTCCATTACCATTTTTATACCGAAATTAACAATATTTTTATATGAAATTTTTCGACAAATCAAAATTTAAAAATTTCATAACTAAGCCAAAAACGCATTAATTTCAATTCGGAAAGCGGCAGTACGTTAATTTTTAGCAGGTTAACAAAACTGCATACTCAATTTAAAATGTGAATTTTTGGCCGATTTTTGCAAATTTTCATGATGTAACCCCTTTCCTTTTTTCCGAAAAATGGGAAATTTCTGAAAAAAATTTTTTTCGGCCGGATAAAGCTAGAAAGAAAGGCCTGTAGATGCTGATCAAGAATATATATGATTTGTGGGGTCGGAAATGGCTCCTTCACTTATTTTTAAGCTTCTAACTGAAGGTCCATTACCATTTTTATACCGAAATTAACAATATTTTTATATGAAATTTTTCGACAAATCAAAATTTAAAAATTTCATAACTAAGCCAAAAACGCATTAATTTCAATTCGGAAAGCGGCAGTACGTTAATTTTTAGCAGGTTAACAAAACTGCATACTCAATTTAAAATGTGAATTTTTGGCCGATTTTTGCAAATTTTCATGATGTAACCCCTTTCCTTTTTTCCGAAAAATGGGAAATTTCTGAAAAAAATTTTTTCGGCCGGATAAAGCTAGAAAGAAAGGCCTGTAGATGCTGATAAGAATATATATGATTTGTGGGGTCGGAAATGGCTCCTTCACTTATTTTTAAGCTTCTAACTGAAGGTCCATTACCATTTTTATACCGAAATTAACAATATTTTTATATGAAATTTTCGACAAATCAAAATTTAAAAATTTCATAACTAAGCCAAAAACGCATTAATTTCAATTCGGAAAGCGGCAGTACGTTAATTTTTAGCAGGTTAACAAAACTGCATACTCAATTTAAAATGTGAATTTTTGGCCGATTTTTGCAAATTTTCATGATGTAACCCCTTTCCTTTTTTCCGAAAAATGGGAAATTTCTGAAAAAATTTTTTTCGGCCGGATAAAGCTAGAAAGAAAGGCCTGTAGACGCTGATCAAGAATATATATGATTTGTGGGGTCGGAAATGGCTCCTTCACTTATTTTTAAGCTTCTAACTGAAGGTCCATTACCATTTTTATACCGAAATTAACAATATTTTTATATGAAATTTTTCGACAAATCAAAATTTAAAAATTTCATAACTAAGCCAAAAACGCATTAATTTCAATTCGGAAAGCGGCAGTACGTTAATTTTTAGCAGGTTAACAAAACTGCATACTCAATTTAAAATGTGAATTTTTGGCCGATTTTTGCAAATTTTCATGATGTAACCCCTTTCCTTTTTTCCGAAAAATGGGAAATTTCTGAAAAAAATTTTTTTCGGCCGGATAAAGCTAGAAAGAAAGGCCTGTAGATGCTGATAAAGAATATATATGATTTGTGGGGTCGGAAATGGCTCCTTCACTTATTTTTAAGCTTCTAACTGAAGGTCCATTACCATTTTTATACCGAAATTAACAATATTTTTATATGAAATTTTTCGACAAATCAAAATTTAAAAATTTCATAACTAAGCCAAAAACGCATTCATTTCAATTCGGAAAGCGGCAGTACGTTAATTTTTAGCAGGTTAACAAAACTGCATACTCAATTTAAAATGTGAATTTTTGGCCGATTTTTGCAAATTTTCATGATGTAACCCCTTTCCTTTTTTCCGAAAAATGGGAAATTTCTGAAAAAATTTTTTTCGGCCGGATAAAGCTAGAAAGAAAGGCCTGTAGATGCTGATAAAGAATATATATGATTTGTGGGGTCGGAAATGGCTCCTTCACTTATTTTAAGCTTCTAACTGAAGGTCCATTACCATTTTATACCGAATTAACAATATTTTTATATGAATTTTCGACAAATCAAAATTTAAAAATTTCATAACTAAGCCAAAAACGCATTCATTTCAATTCGGAAAGCGGCAGTACGTTAATTTTTAGCAGGTTAACAAAACTGCATACTCAATTTAAAATGTGAATTTTTGGCCGATTTTTGCAAATTTTCATGATGTAACCCCTTTCCTTTTTTCCGAAAATGGGAAATTTCTGAAACATTTTTTTTCCGCCGGATAAAGCTAGAAAGAAGGCCTGTAGATGCTGATCAAGAATATATATGATAATGGGTCCTTCACTTATTTTTAAGCTTCAGACTGAAACTATATTACCAATCATTTAACCTATATTTATTTACATTTTTATATGCAAATTTATTTTGATAAATTAAAATTTAAAGAACCCATAACTAAGTAATAAAAGCATTAATTTTAATTCGGAAATCGTTCCATGTCAGTTTCCATTAAAATAAATAAATCTGCATAGCCCCCCGACTGCGCTTTTTTTAATCAGCCTGATTCTTAAATTTCACAATTTCACGTTTATGATATACCAGGCAAACAGAATCGGAAAGAGATGGCAGCAATCCAGCAGCACAAGTGATTTACACGGCAAGGGTATTGAGATAACGCCAAAGTAAAGCGGAGCTTTTCAGCATTCCAAATTCTAATGGCCGTCCTTTGTTTACATTTGAATTGACCAATCAGAGACTTTCTTCAAGTTCGTCTCATCTAAGATCCGTTACTTAGGACTTTGAAATTAATGGCCGCGCTTTACTTACATCTAATTAGACCAATCAGAGACGATCTTCAAGTTCATCTCTTCTAAGATCCGTTACTTAGGACTTTGAAATTAATGGCCGCGCTTTACTTACATCTAATTAGACCAATCAGAGACGATCTTCAAGTTCATCTCTTCTAAGATCCGTTACTTAGGACTTTGAAATTAATGGCCGCCCTTTGTTTACATCTGATTAGACCAATCAGATACGATCTTTACGTTCCCAACTTACAAGAACCGTTACTTTGGAGCATTTGCATCAGCGGGTTAGCTGCTTGCTGAATATTCTGTTCGCCTGGTGTATAAAGTCAAGTTTTAAGAAGTTTGTATGGCGAATTTCGTTAATTTTGTGGTGTATGTTGTTGGATTTGTTGTTATTTCATATAAATATGGGCATTAAATCGGATTGATTTAACAATTGGTATACCAGGCAAACAGAATCGGCTGGCAGCAGCTCAGCAGCATTACACCAGCATTCCAAATCCTAATGGCCGCTCTTTAAATTCACCAATCAGAGACTTTCTTCAAGTTCGTCTCATCTAAGATCCGTTACTTTGGACTTTGAATTAATGGCCGCCCTTTGTTTACATCTGATTAGACCAATCAGACACGGTCTTTAAGTTCGTCTCTTCTAAGATCCGTTACTTAGGACTTTGAATTAATGGCCGCCCTTTGTTTACATCTGATTAGACCAATCAGAGATGATCTTCACGTTCCCAACTTTTAAGAACCGTTACTTTGGAGCATTTGCATCAGCGGTTTAGCTGCTTGCTGAATATTCTGTTCGCCTGGTAGAACTTGAGAATTTAAATGGTAAATTCGCTAAATTGGATTGTTGTTTGTTGTTGGGTTTGTTGTATTTTGAATTTATTTTGGGCTAAGTTACTTTGTCGAACTTAAAATTAATTTATATCAAGAATATATGTATGTGGTTTCTACCCTGCAACGGTCAGTATTTTATTTTGTGACAATGGTAAGCACGGAATATGAACCTTACAAAACCAACAAACAAAATATAATAAAAAGAATTCGGGAAATTAAGAGTCAAGCCGTAAATCCCAATAACTTCCATACGCATCTGTAAATTTTCAACTTGTGAGGAGAGGACGGAAGAGGAGCTCCTTAAGTACTTTTGACACTCCCCCCAGGCAGGATTCCTCACGTATAAGTTAGGGAATCGTCTTCGCCTGGCAGGAAGAGCACCAGAAGCCTCCTTAGGAGCCCATCGCATCCAGCATCCGTCCTCTCTACAACACATCGCAGTGGGTAATGACCAGCGGTCTTACCATCTTGCCGTTCTTGGTGCCATACAACTGCATGCATCCTACGACCTTGGCGCCGCGCACCACCCGGCGAAGGCCACCCGCTGGCCTTTGGCCGCGGGCAGTGGCTTAAAGCTGATGCTAAAGTTGATGGCTCCGCCGGGAAATCCATGGACGCAGTACTCCTTGGCGCAGGACAGGACACAGTTGTGCCGCTCGTGGCTCAACACGCGCGTATCGAACTCCATGGGGTCTCGGAGCTGGGGTGGCGGATCCGCAGAGTGTCCTTGTTGCCGGTTGCAACCGAGGAGGTAACCCTCCAGCCAGAGATTGGGGAAGATGCGGCGCACGGCAAACTCATGGGCCCGCTGGCGCTGGCAGGTGCGAATGAACTGGAGCACCACCAGCGGTGCTGCCTCGGTGTATAGCTGAATCACCACCCGGCCAGCGAACGGCCGTCCATGAGGCCAAAGTACAGGACAATCCGGGGCCGGAGCAGTCGCAGCAGCTCGCTCCTATTCCCGGGCAGCTCCAGAGCACAGGTGGAGTACTTTGCAAACACATCGCTCTTCGAGTCCGGCAGATACGATTGAGTAGTGGTCTGAGAGAGCTCCTGTGCCAGCTCCAGACCTGGTCGCCTCCCGGTCGTGGCCAACGGATGACCATCGTTCCAACGCCGCTGCCGCTTCCCGTGGACACTCATGAGCCGATGACCCAGGAAGTCGTTCTGGCGCTGCAGCTCCTCGACCCGTCGCATCATATGGGGCAGCGACGAAAGGCTCTGGGGAATGCGATCGTCGAAAAGGCCAACGGTACCGCCAATGCGCCTAATCCGCGATAGATTCAGCAGCAGGTGGGCATTCTCATGGGTTCGCTGCAGGAAGAGGCGGGCATCCTGGGAAAGGGCCGGAAGTCCATTTAGCTGCATAGCGGGCAACCGTGGCGGTCGATGGTCCACCCGGCTAGTGGCCCTCTCCAGCCGCTGGCGGTGCTCCTGGAAGCGATTTGGCAGCGGGCGACGGTGAACGCGGCCACGAACCAATCTCAGGGAACTGGTGGTGGCCAAAGTGTTGTGGTGCAGCATGTCCGTGGCAGGGAATGCCTCCTAATATACTCCAAATGTGCTTAGATATATCTTAATGTATACAGTAAGGGATTTGGTGTGTCTCGGAATACTGTTAATTTTTATTTGGATTTTTCTCTCTTGAGTTTTGTTTCTTAGGTCCTACTCTGCCTGCTTGGATACAGTTTGTCTTTGGTTTTTGTTTTTGTTTTTTTTTTTCGAAAAAGTCTATTTTCTAATCTAATTTTATATTTTGTTCAGTTTGCTTTATCTGGCAGGGACCGTAGTTGATTTGGATTTATTGTACGTGCTCCAAAAACGTCGCATAAATAAATATAATTATTATTCTATATTTTGTTTTAACACTTGAGACATACAAATTGTTTAGAAACATATACATATTAATAACGAATTCGTTCACAATTAATTTGTTAAAAAAAAGAATTATATCTCAATCCAGAGTTTACTATTTAATTCTATTGATTTTAAGCAAACAAGTAATTTGTTTACTATATCTTTTAATTTTCAAAAGTTAGGTTTATATTGGAATGCTTCGAATCGCTTTACTTAGTGTAAATCATAGAATATAAACATTTATCTACGGTCCTGTCGTTACTTTTGTTTAACAACTTTTTCAAAGTTTTCTATCTTAAAAACAGACACACACACAATATAGTAATAATATAATAATTAGTTTTAGGGGCAAGGTAAAAAAAATTATGGGTTCGTTACGCTAAATCAAATATATAATATTCAAGTTGAGATCGCTCCGAATACTTCGGTCTGCTGTATTTGTTTCTGTCTTTTTCGCGGTCACTGCTCCCATCTCTTTCTTATTCGCTCTTTTCCGCTTTCATCTGGCATCTTTCCTCTCTTTCCAAGTTGTGTGAACGAACAATTCAATTTCTACATCGAAACATTGATAGTTTTATAAATACAATACGTTCGGCGCTAAGAACTACAATAACGTTTCTATCCTCCCTATCCTGTCGCTGTAAATATCCTTGCTACCAGCTCACATTGCAGCTTCAAGCGCGAGGAAATACATAGATCTTAATCCTATATTAATTGTGTTGGATTTAGTTATTGTTTCCTTTCCTTGAACACATTGTTGAATCTGTTTAATGAAAGAAGCGGCGGCCTGAAGCTGCAATCCAAACGGAGGCACACTATCCTTTCACTGGTTAAAATTTCTAATATCATTGGATGTTTCTTCTGCTTAGACGGACTCCTAGACGAATTTTTCTTCTTTTTGGCTGGCAATGTGGCTTAAAATAAACTCTCTCTCCTACTTGTTGTTGTTCTCCTGCAACAGATCCTCGAGGGCTCCATTGAGTCTGCCCTTGCTCAGGGCCTCCACCAGCATGTGCAGTCGCTCCTCCCGCTCCGAGTGTCTGCGCTCCAGCAGGGATACCTTTGGGGAAGAGAGGCAAGGACAACGAAGGAACCATGTTCCAGATAAATATATACACACATATATAATATATATTGGAAAGTTACAGTAGAATCATATTTTTGGTTTTGGTTTTGTTTTGCCCGCAAAATCAAAACTCCACTTGACTGTGTTTCGAATTCTCATTTCTTTGATTCTTGAAAACTGGCCTTTGGCTGCAGTTTGGGTTTTGCTGGCTTTTGTACCTTGGCTTTCAGTGCATAGTAATCCACGGGCACCTTGCGTCGCTTCTGGGTGGCAAAGGCCTCCTCCCGCTCGTTGAGGCGCTGCTGGAGGATGCGCACGGTCTCATTGCAGGTGGCCAGCTCTCGCTCATGGGCGCTCTGCAGGGTCTTTAGCTGTAATTGAATTCGTTTCACACATTTGCTGTTAGTTGATTAATCAACAAGGACTCACATCCTGCAGGCGCTTGTCATGGAGCGTCTTGTAGTCCGCCTCCAAGAGCCGGTACTTGTTCTGGGCCTCCTTCAGGGCCTGGCTTTCGGTGGCCGCCGGTACGTGATCGCTGTAATGATGACCATGATCGTAGCCACTGGAGCGGCGGCCACTTGGCAGCGAAATGGCACTGGCCTGGGGGCGGAGATCCAATTTGCTGCCTGCAAAAAAGAATGAATAACCGATTAATCGACATTAGATAAAGAGGATGAAGAGGCTTCGCTCTTATGTAAATCCGAGTTCATTGAGCCGCCGCCCGTCTGGGTCGAATTTATTTTTGGGACAGATAGAAATTTCCACAAATTAAAAACTACGACAAATTGCATAATCCCAAAAACATAATGTTATGAAGAGCGTTTTGCATTTCTTACACGCACGCGCTCGTTGGAAATTAAAACACAAGCTGATGATGTCTATTTAAGCCGTCCGCTTTTGGCATTTACAATTATTAAAGCCACGAAAAAACTACAACAATAAATACACAACTAACAAATGTGAGCGACGAAGCAACGGCCCATTAATTAGCCACAAAAATACGCAGAAGAGGCCATAAGCAAACTCAAGCTGGCATTATAAAACCCGTGTGTAAGGAGAGGCAAAGGCAAAGGCGAAGGCGAAGGTGGAGCTGGAGCTGGAGCTGGAGCTGGCTGAGAAGACCTGATCCAGCAGCGTCCACCGAACCCGAAAACAACAAACGCGTCTTTGACTTTGACTTTCGCTTTCGAATTTTCTTTTCGATGGCAAGAAATTCAAATCCGAATCGACAAAAAGGTAAATAAACAACAAGCGCACACACGCCACACACCAGGCATAAGCGTCAGACCGCACAGGTGACATAACCAAGTGGCCGAGATGCCCCTCTAACCCTCCTCCTCCTCCTCCTCTCCCCAAAGGCAGCTCCATCCATGTGCTGTCCAGCTGTCTCCAACAACAACAGCAACACTGAGTGTTGTGGATTCGGTTTCGTTTTCTGGCCGATTGGACTTAACCCCAGAAAAGGTTTAAGCTTTACAGTTTATAATAATAATATAATATTTAAGAGAAGAAGAAATACTCAATAATTAATTTGTAAGTTACTATATCTGTATATCAAGGAAAGATTTAAAAGTGTTAACAACATTAAAGTAATACACCCTAAACCGATATCTTGTTATATGTATTTCATGAATTTAGAAACACATTTAAAGAGATCTCAAAAGACCAAATAATAAAGTGTGCCCCTACATGACTCTTGGTCTTCAAGGGGTTAAGCCCCATCTTGGCCAGCCGTTCAGTCGAAACGTGTTTGTGTGCTGTTTTGTGTCGTCTTGGCCATTGGCCGCTTAGCAGCTTAGTTGCGCTGCAATTGCCGTTTGAAACGAGTGCAAAAAGTGGTCAAAAGGCCGACACCGTCGACAGCCGTACAATGATTTATTCCAGCAATTTATTTGCCGTCTCAGCCAGGTAACTCCCCGGAGGGAGGGAGGCAGCTGGGTAGGAGAAGGAGTGCGGAGTGGGGAGTGGAGCCCAGTGCTGTACGTGCTGCTGACCGGGCAGAGAAAGTCCATAAATTACCAAGCCATCCATCGGCATCGACCGAGTGACACAAACACAACCAAATTAGAGAGACAGAGAGATACAGAGACACAGAGAGAGGGAGAGGGCATGGCTCTTGGAACTGGGATGGGAATGGTTATGGATTCGAGCTCAAACTCACCTGTATGGCTGGAGGTGCCGCTACCCTCCCTGTCCCGCTGCAGCTTCCGTATGGTCTTCTTGCAATCATCCAATTCCCGTGTCAAGCGTTGCATTGCCTTGTTTTTGATGGCCAAATCGACGCGCATGCTTCGCACGGAGCTAAGGAGCTGTGCCTCCTCCTTGGAGGACCCGGGTCCGTGGCTGAGCAGGGAGAGCGTGGACTCGGACTGAGAGATTGGCAGCTTGGAGGCGGTGCCACCAGCACCACTCACAGCCAGTGGCGAACGCCTTTGGGCACCGCTGCCGCTTTGCTTCGAATTCGGACGCGATGTGTTCGGTGTGGAATTGGCGGTGCTGCTGGTGCTACTGCTGGCCGACGGTGGATGTGGATGTGGATGGGCATGGGCATGGGCATGGGGATGGAGATGCGGCTGCTGGCAAACGAGGGCCGGCGAGGGGCAGCCAATGGTATTGGTACTGTGATCCCTGGTCCCATTTGCAGCCTTGGTCTGGGTACCAGTGGTGGCGGAGTTGGCCTCAGGGATGGCGCTAATGGGCTCCCCCTCCGCACCAGTCGATGGTGGCTCCGTTTGGGTGCAATTGTTGTAGAAGCGATCGGCACGCTTCTGCATATAGCGATCCAGGGTGCGAACCTGCGACTCGATCTGTTCGTTCAGCTTTGTGTTGATCTCCTGGAGACTGTAGGGGGAGAGGGATGTAGTTATATTTACATTAACTATTAATTCAACCCACCTCAAGACCTGCGTCTCCAAGTCCGCTATGTGGGTCTCGTACTTGGCCTGAACGGAATTGAAGCGGGCCTGCACATTGGCCAGGATCTGCTGGGCCTTGCGATCCTGCTCCTTGGCATCCGACTCCAGCTGGGCAATGCGCTGCTCCAGCAGCTTGCGGCTGTTCATGTTCTCCTGATCATTCAGGGGACACATGCCGGGATTTTTGGAGGCCACTAAAAAGGGGGAGATTCCATTAATATTACTTCCCCAATTAGTTTCCCATTTAATCACAAACCTATGAGAGCCGACACAGAATCGGGATGCTTGCGCATGAGTATACGCTCCATCTCCCGGCATTGGCGCTGCAGATCCTGTATGATCCTGCCATCCTTCTCCTTGCCTTCCCCCATTCGCCGCCGCTCCTGCTGCACCTCCTCCAGCTCGGCACGCAGCGAGCGCTGCAGCTGCAGGGCCTCGCCGCGATCTCGGCGTGCCGCCTGGAGCTCCGAGCGCAGGACACTGGCGCACTCGTTCAGATGCTGCACGTCCAGCTTGAGCATCTCGGACTCCTCCTGCAGGCGGCCGTTGTGCTCGCGCAGGGCGCGCTGCGTCTGCGACAGCGAGTCGCTCTGCAGGCGCACCGAGGCCAGGCGCTCCTCGGTGTCCTTGAGCCGCTCCTGCAGCTGGTCAATCTCGTGCTTGAGCGCATGCTCCCGGGACACACTGCAGGCGACCTGCTCGATGGGCGAGCTGAGGGTGCTGACCAGGTGCTTGGGTGAGCTGCCGACCGCCTTCTCGCTGTAGCTGGCCATCGGACGGATCGGCTGGCTGTAGGAGTGGCTGAGGCGGCCAAGGCTAAGGGTACTGCGGCGGCTGCTGAACATTGGACTGCGGCAGCCCGGCACGGTTGCATCTACCTCCGCCTCGGTGGTTTCCTCCATCTGCAAGGCAAAAACGAAATACTTATTTAGAAAAATGTGTACAAATCTCTCTGTACTCTGTGCAAAACGCACTGAAATAAAACACAATGTTTGCTGAGTTTTTGGGGGGCGGTGAGCATGTGAAAGTGTTTCAGGAAAAGGTGTGGCAGCTTAACGGTAGAGATATGGCTGCTGCGCGTTGCGGGAATCGTTAATACCTGTCGCCGCCGACACAGCCTCCAAGCACAAGCATCCCTTTCCCGTTCCACCACCATCCCCCTCCAGGAAAAGGAAAAGGCGGAGCCAAGAGCAGACCAGACCGAGAGCAGTGGAAAAACAAAGCCAGTCACCAGTCGGTCCTCATTACAATGGAAACGTATAGGCGACAATGACAACTTCATGTCCCCGCGGGGCACAGTGGAGCAAGGTTACATTGCATTACATTTCAGGTATACAAGAATGTAATTAAAAACTAATTAACTAAGGTTTTAACAGGAACCCAAGCTATTATTATCCTTTAAGAATTAGAAGACTTAAGCTACAAATTTGGAAAGATGGTAACAATTTCTAATAATTAATTTGACTATTTAGCTTAAATTAAATAATTGTTGATAGGATACATTATAAACGATTATAAATTATTTAGAGATAATATTACCTGATTGCAGAACTACAACAAAATATAACAATTTTTTAAGTATTTAAAATATGATTAAAATTCAAAGTAATTAAGATTATTAAAATAACAAGTGAATATGTGCCAATTTTAACTTTAGATATCACATATCAAGTAAATATGATTAACATAATTTTAAAATATTATTAAAATATTATATTATTATTATATTATTATTATATTATATTAGTATTATATTTATTATTATTATATTATTAGTATTATATTTTATTATTATTATATTATTATTATATTATATTATTATTATATATTATTATATTATATTATTATTATATTATATTAGTATTATATTATATTATTATTATATTATATTATTATTATATTAAATTATTATTATATTAAATTATTATTATATTATATTATTATTATATTATATTATTATATTATATTATTATTATATTATATTATTATATTATATTATTATTATATATTATTATTATAATTCGCAATTATAATTTTTAATTTAAATATCAAGTAAAATTGCAAGCATATTATCTTTGAATTATTAGCTGTTTCCAAAAATTTCTCTAAAATAAAATGGAGAAAAACAACTCCAAAGTGGCTTAAAAGGGGAACAAAAACGAAAGACTTAGGCGACAAACTCGCTGTGAAAATGACGCTGTACGCAGCAGCAGCAGCAGCAGCAGCAAAAGCAGCAGCAGAGGCAACCCTTGTCAAATGTTATCGACTGTCAAGTGCTCCTCCCTCATCCCCTCACCTTCCCCTGGTATCCATTGTTCCCAAATTGGGAAGTATAAGAAGATAATTGGGATGATGTGGGTGTGCACCTCAAACACTGGGCACTCCACACACTCGAAAAAAGTCAGCGATATATTGAAGAAGAAAGAAAGTTCGTGGCCCCTTGAAACCCCCGCAAATAACGCCTATTGTGTGTGCTTGGGTGTGTGCTTGGGTGTATGTGTGTGTGTGCATCGGTTTTTAAGTTGTTTCATTTTTTTCTGTTACTTTGCCGCCAGCAATCGACTGACATTGCTCTGCCCACTCTCGCTTTCATCGGCTCTCTGTGGGGGATTCTACCTGAAAAGCATCGCACATCGCACATTGCGAGTGCCGAAGTGCCTCCCATTCACCTCATTCATACTTTTGTCAATTTTATGGCGCTGCCTGAATGCCTGAATGCCTCTTTGCGGGTTTTTGGTGTTTTTTAATGCCTTCTGCCACTTTCCACTCTTTGCGGCTCGAAAATCCGCTTGAAATCTGTGCATTTCTCAGTTTTGGCGCTAATTGGAATTAGTTCTAGTTCGTTATGAACCCTTGGCTGATAATTGGGATGTTTTGTCTAAATATATACGAATATTTATACCCTTGCAGCAGGGTATTATAAATTTAGTAAAAAGCTTATAATGCTGTCAAGGAGTCATTTCCGACCCTTTATTCCATATATATTCTTGATCAGCATAAGCAGGAGAATCTTTCTGGGTATAAAACAGAGAAACAAATTTTTGAAAATTATTTTCCACAATTTTTGAGACGTTTTTTCATTGTTAACATATTGAAAAATCGTCAAATTTGGAATAGTTTAAAAGTGTAATTTAGGTATGCAGATTTATTAACCTATTCAAAACTAGAACAGAACAGCTTTCAGAATCGAAATTAATGCATTTTTGGCATAGCTATGAGTTTTTTAAGCTTTGATTTGTAGAATAAATTAACTTATAAAAATATCGAAATATTGGTTAAAAAATGGTATTGTTATTTCAGTCAGAAGCTTAAAAATAAGTGAAGGAGTCATTTGCGACCCTATATTCCATATATATTCTTGATCAGCATTAACAGGCGAATCTTTCTGGGTATAAAACAGAGAAACAAATTTTTGAAAATTATTTTCCACAATTTTTGAGACGTTTTTTCATTGTTAACATATTGAAAAATCGTCAAAATTTGGAATAGTTTAAAAGTGTAATTTAGGTATGCAGATTTATTAACCTATTCAAAACTAGAACAGAACAGCTTTCAGAATCGAAATTAATGCATTTTTGACATAGTTATGAGTTTTTTAAGCCTTGATTTGTTGAATAAATTAACTTATAAAATATCGAAATATTGGTTAAAAAATGGTATTGTTATTTCAGTCAGAAGCTTAAAAATAAGTGAAGGAGTCATTTGCGACCCTATATTCCATATATATTCTTGATCAGCATTAACAGGCGAATCTTTCTGGGTATAAAACAGAGAAACAAATTTTTGAAAATTATTTTCCACAATTTTTGAGACGTTTTTTCATTGTTAACATATTGAAAAATCGTCAAATTTGGAATAGTTTAAAGTGTAATTTAGGTATGCAGATTTATTAACCTATTCAAAACTAGAACAGAACAGCTTTCAGAATCGAAATTAATGCATTTTTGGCATAGCTATGAGTTTTTTAAGCTTTGATTTGTAGAATAAATTAACTTATAAAAATATCGAAATATTGGTTAAAAAAAGGTATTGTTATTTCAGTCAGAAGCTTAAAAATAAGTGAAGGAGTCATTTGCGACCCTATATTCCATATATATTCTTGATCAGCATTAACAGGCGAATCTTTCTGGGTATAAAACAGAGAAACAAATTTTTGAAAATTATTTTCCACAATTTTTGAGACGTTTTTTCATTGTTAACATATTGAAAAATCGTCAAAATTTGGAATAGTTTAAAAGTGTAATTTAGGTATGCAGATTTATTACCTATTCAAAACTAGAACAGAACAGCTTTCCGAATCGAAATTAATGGATTTTTGACATAGTTATGAGTTTTTTAAACCTTGATTTGTAGAATAAATTAACTTATAAAAATATCGAAATATTGGTTAAAAAATGGTATTGTTATTTCAGTCAGAAGCTTAAAAATAAGTGAAGGAGTCATTTGCGACCCTATATTCCATATATATTCTTGATCAGCATTAACAGGCAAATCTTTCTGGGTATAAATAGAGAAACAAATTTTTTGAAAAATGTTTGCACAATTTTTAAGTCGTTTTTTTTTCATTGTTAACATATTGAAAAATCGTCAAAATTTGGAATAGTTTAAAAGTGTAATTTAGGTATGCAGATTTATTAACCTATTCAAAACTAGAACAGAACAGCTTTCCGAATCGAAATTAATGGATTTTTGACATAGTTATGAGTTTTTTAAACCTTGATTTGTAGAATAAATTAACTTATAAAAATATCGAAATATTGGTTAAAAAATGGTATTGTTATTTCAGTCAGAAGCTTAAAATAAGTGAAGAAGTCATTTGCGACCCTATATTCCATATATATTCTTGATCAGCATTAACAGGCGAATCTTTCTGGGTATAAAACAGAGAAACAAATTTTTGAAAATTATTTTCCACAATTTTGAGACGTTTTTTCATTGTTAACATATTGAAAAATCGTCAAATTTGGAATAGTTTAAAAGTGTAATTTAGGTATGCAGATTTATTAATCTATTAAAACTAGAACAGAACGGCTTTCCGAATCGAAATTAATGCATTTTTGGCTTAGTTGTGATATTCGAAAAACATTGATTTACACAAAAGCCTTGGCATTTAAAATATCGATTTGATATACCTAGACTTTTATGTTTTCTGTAAGACCAACAGTAATGATTGCCAAAAGTGATTAGTTTACCAATTCACACATAGTTTGTGAGACATTTTTAATAGTTCACTAAACAAACAACAGTAATTGTCAATAAATTAGCACTGATTTGCACTAATTTGCACAGTTTTGTGAATCAATAGACAGGCGGCAGGTGCTTCAAGTTTTGCAAATCAAGTATCAAAGGAACCACTTTGCCAGCAATTAATTAAACTAATATTAAGGACAATTTCACTACTTGACCTCCCCCGATGGATGGATGGATGGATGGATGGATGGGGGCCCGGGGCTGTGATTTGAGCTTTGCAATTACTTGAACTCTCGCCTTCCTCAATTGTCATTTGTGATAACTCCACTTACTTATTATAAAGTGAAAGGAGCGCCGGACGGCAGCAAGAGCAATTGTTTGTGCTCCAAAGACATGACGATGCCGATGACGATGACAAGAGGACGGCGAGGTGCGGTTGATTAGAGAGCAGAGCGTGGTAATACTCGTACCATTCCACACAAATAAAATGTACATATAAATAAGAGTGGAGATGAATCATGTCAATGAGCAAATTGGAAACTTTTAACTCAGCACCAGCACCAGCGCAACAATAACATTACAACGAGCTGCGTATCTTCAAGATGCAGATACAAATGTATCTCGTATGTCCTGCACCTTCGAAATATGTATATTTTTAAATGCAAATTGGAACAATTAACACGCAATTGCCAATTGACATCGATTACGAATTAAGGTGATCATCGTGATTCATCGATCGATTTGCAAAATTAAAATGCAGAAAATCCAGAATGATCTGTGCGATCCGTGGAGTCTGTAGAAAGTCGATGATGTTGATTTGAGTGCTGGATGGGCACTTACGGCGATCCGGATCATATTTAAATGAGGAAAAGTTATTTACGGAAGCCAGAGGCATTTATCGATCGGACTCTGAATTGTGGCAGCAGAGAAATGCAGGAAATGTTTATATTTCATTTTTTAAATGCAGAAATGAAGCAAACAAGCTCTCTTTTCTTGTGGAATTTATAATTGAAAATATAAAAATGGGGTTTATATAATAATATGATATAATATAAATATATATTTATGGGGTTCTTGTAATCAGAAGAGTCAGGCTGAAGACCTATCGAATTGTTTCCACATTTTTTCGAGTTAAAGCAATATAAACCTTGAGAATCAATTCTAGGATCAGTTGAAAATATTCATATTATGTTCCTATTTTTTAAAGTAACTAACTGAATTAATATGATACTATTTATTGTTTATACTGGTTTATACTATGTATTACTTAATTTTATTCTAGTAAGCCTGGAAGCTTCATCTCCCTCTAATTAAACATTTATTAATCATTATGAAGGTTTGTAATTTGTATTATCTAAGAAATCATGTTAAACTAATTAAACTAATAACTAAATAAAATATCTTGTTTAACCCTCAAACAAACCTTATTTGGTATAGATCCTCTCTGAATCCTTTATTTAGACTATATCTGGATATATTTATATCTTTCTTGTTTATATAAAAAAAGAATCTTATCCAAGTATACATTATATAGATGTATCTATTTTTATTCATAGATTCAACGGATGAAACCCGTAGAATAATTTAGCTATCAAATATATTTCATTTTCGGTTATATCTGTTGATCTTGTTAATAGTTTTTTGGTTTTTGTTTCTTCTTATTTCTTCAACATTCTTCGTTATGCTTTGGCATTGTGTCCCGAAGAAAGCGAGAGCGGGACCTGGATATGGAAATGGAATGGTAGTGGAAGTAGCAGCTGGAAAGATGGAAGGCTGCTGATGCGGGGGCGGGGGCTCTCACAAGGAGAGAGCCGCGAGCGGAGAGCAGAGCACGGATCATTTGCATACACACGAGCAGAGGCAAGTATCTGCAGCTCTGCTCTGCCGCTCGGTGTAAGTGAGAGGCAGCGGCAGCGACTGCTCTGCGACGGCGCAGCTGCTAACCGCAGAGAGAGCGAGAGAGAGAGCGAGTATATTGGAAATGGAATGGCAATGCTTTCTTCTTCTTTGCGCTTGGCAAAGCTCTCCAATGCTGCCTCTGCTTCTTCCCGTTGGCGCGCACTGCGAAGTATAAAAGCGGCACTCGAGCAATGGACATGTCTCATAACGGTTCACAACCAGATCCCGCCAAGATGCACACCGCGAGATCGCGTGCGGGCCTCGCCCCCCATAGAAGCACAGCAACGGCAGTCGTCGTTGCTCCAACTCTACTCCTGGCCGTGCTGCTCCACCATGAGAGCGGCGGCCATGTCGCTGGACCGCCTCGCCCTCGAGCGCAACGGCTGCCAGCGATCAATCCCCGCTCCAGCCCCAGTCGGAGGTCCATCCCAGACGGACGTCCTTGTGGACGACATGAAGCTGACCTCGATCCCCTCGGCGGACTCTGCCGCCGATATGTACATGCTGTGCCGGAACGGGGCAGCCAATGGAGGACACCGAGCACGTGCACCGCAACTCCATTGAATCGGACTCGGGCTCCGAGGATCCGGCCAGTGCCGCCTCCGACATGCTAATGCTGGAGAGTGCTCCAGTCCAGCCTTGCAGCTGGTGGAGCTGCCCAGCGACTAACAGTGGCAGAGCAGGAGCAGGAGCAGGATCAGCAGCAGCAACTGCAGCCGGAATCTATCGAGGAGCATGTGGTGCTGATGAAGCCCAGCAGCAGCCAGGAGGCCCAGCTGGAGCAGGCAGTGGACAGTGCCACCGAAGAGCAGCAGACAAGCTCCAGTTGCCGCCATGGACGAAGCTCAGCCGGAAGCCGAGAGGAGGAGGAGCCACTGGCAGCCACTCAGGCCACGCCAGAGGAACAGGCCATGGACGACCAGGTGCCAGAGGAGTCGGAAGTGCAGCCAGAGCAAGTGCAGCCAGCCGCTGAAGAGACTGCAGTTGAGGAGTCTCAGCAACAAGAAACAGAATCTCAGCCAGAAGCTGAGCAGGAGGTTGAATCCCAGCCAGAGGAGGAGGCATCCGAGCCAGAAGTCGTAGCTCTTGAAGTTCAGCAAGACGCTGAAGCCAAGCCAGCAGAGCCAACTCAGCCAGAAACTGAATCCCAGCCAGAAATTCAAGCTCAACCCGAAGCTGAGTCCCAGCCAGAAGTGGAAGCCCAACCTGAAGCCCAGTCCCAGCCGGAAATTCCATCCGAAATCCCAGCCGAAGTCCAGGCTGATCAGGAGAAGGAATCCGACAATGAAACAGAAACCGAAACCGAGCAGGAGAAGATCAGCGACAACGAAGTGGACACCACAGAGGCTTCCCTAATGGAAACTCTGGCGGAGAATATCGAAGAAGGCCTTACCGCTGCCATGGACAACCTGGTGCCCGAGGAACTAGCGGAGGCCACCGAAAACAAGAATGAGGAACTGGAGCAGGAACAGGAAACTATTTCAGAGCCAGAGGAACTTACTCCTGTCACCGAAGCTACAATCATCGAGGAGCAAGCAGCTCCCGAAGTTGAGCCCTTAGAGGATAAGAAACCCGAACTCATTTTAGCCGATGAACCAGAGCAGGAGGCTGAGCCCGCTAAGGAAGTCCAGCCAGAGATAGTCCCAGCAGAGGCAGCACCAGAAGAGGAATCAAAGCCCCAAGAGGAGGAAACCAAGACAGAGGAGGCAGCTAAGCCCGAAGAGGAAGCCAAGCCAGAGGAGGAGGCTAAGCCAGAGGAGGAGGCCAAGCCTGAACCCGAACACAAGCCAGAGGAGGAATCCCACAACAATGACGAGATTCAGCAAGAGATCAATGAGATCAAACCTGAAGAGCCAAGGATAAGATTCCTGCTGAAATCCCATTGGAGATCCCAGTTGAAATCCCAGCTGAAGTTCCCTCCGCCATCCCTGCTGAAATTCCCGCTGATATTCCAGCTGAAGCTCCAGCCAAACTCCAAGATGAAATCCAAGCCGAACCCGAAGCAGAGAAGGAGAAGGAGAAGGAACCCCAAGCCATAGCAGAGGAACCCAAGCAGCCCGAGCAGCTGCTTCCCTGCTGACCACCATCATACCCATGGTGCTGCCCCAGCCCCAGCCCCAACCCCAGTCCCAGTCTCAGCCGCAGATTCCATCCCAGCCGCTCCAGGTGCAGGACAGTGTGCTCAACTATGTGAATGCCTCGTTCCTTACCCAACAACAGACTGAGGCGGAACTACCCAAGGCCGAGGAGGAGTCTCCGTTCAATGCCCATCTGCGACGCTACGATGGCGCCCAGGTGTGGCGCATCGTGGTGCAAACCGACAAGGACAAGCGTTTGGCCGATGAACTGCAGTCCAATATATGGTAAGTCAAGGAACATGAAATTCCACAACAGGAAGAAAGAGAATCTAATCACACTTCTCCTTAAAGATGGCCAACTCTGGAAGGAGGTGAAGCAGGAGGTGGACTATCTACTGAAGCCTCAAGTTCTGGCCGCTGCCGAGCGTCACATTCGTGCGGCCAATCTGTCCCGGATTGTGCTCATCGACAACCTGCAACATGTTATCGAAGTGGAGAATCCGCCAGCGGAAAAGATTGCCGAGCTTCAGAATCGCAAGGGTAAGTGGAGAGGGGAGAGATTTGGATAGGGAATGGGAGAGAGTAGGACATAGAGAGGTTCCAAGCTCAGTAGCTTCCATCATCCCGCTCCTGGTAGGAGATTCTGGTAAAGAAGAGCTCCTTAAAGTCAAAGGTACCCAAAGAAGAACGCAACTAAAGAGATTCAAGGGAAGCGACTTTTAAAGGAGAGATTACTAGTTTAGAAACTATAAAGAGAAACAGATATATCAAAACAGTATGATATCCATCCGACTTTCCTTTATTAAGGCAATTATCGATGAGAAAGCCTAGTCCCTCTTT